AAATTCTGTGTTTTACGTCGGTTTTGAGATCCGTTTGGAAAAACGGAACCGGCATAATTTTAAGCATTCCATTTTTTATAGTTGTAATTTTGGTTTGGACTTTTACATTTGAGTCCTTGTAATTTTTATATTTTACGTTCGAGTCCCTATTACCTTACATTGAGGTCCTTGGAGTTTGTTTTTGGTTTAAAAAATCAAAAAAAAATAAAGAGAAAAAAGGCATAAAGGTGCATAAAAAAGGAAAAGAAAAGCCGCACCAAAAAAAAGAAAAGGAAAAAACAAAAAGAATAAGAAAAGAAAGAAATAAAAAGAAAGAAAGAAGGAAAAGAGAAAAATCAGTTGTATCTTTGAGTTTGCTTTCATTTATCAGAGTGTGCTTGAGTTATTTCTAGTGCTATCTTATGGTATCGTTTGTGTCTAGGCTCGTGTTTCTAGTACGTTCTAGCCTAGTACCAGCATGGTACTTGACTTTGAACCATTATTCAACTTTGCATTCTCTGATTTGAACTATTGCTTTCCTTTGCTACATATTTAAGTCTACCCAAAGCTCCATAGATTTGATTGCAGCCGTACAACAAGTGTTTGCCAAGGCATCGATACATCCAAACTCCATTGAGGTGCTTGGTTGAGTCGGTGTACGTCACCATTCCGCTTGCTTTGGTAAGAACTTGTAAGAGCTTGGTGAAAAGCTTGTGTTTGTGTGATATTTCAGCTGCCACTACCTAGTAGTTGATAGGAGTATGCATAATCTTGTGTATGTTTCTTGTTTGCTACTAACCATGGCAGGATTGCGCAAGGGGAAACGAGATGGTCATGCTCAACATCGACTTCTTCACCATCAACGAGATATAGCGGCTTCTTCACGCATTGCATATGAGGTACATGATAATGGTCTTGCAAGGGTAGAATCTAATTTGCTAGTTTTTGATGGTAAGTATGATTCTGCCGCTTATGTTAATTGGGAGCTAGCAGTAGACAAACAATTTGATGAATATGATTTCTCTAATGCTCAAATGATTAAGGTTGCTAGTAATAAGTGTACTGGTTCTGCATCTTTTTGGTGGTATACTGTTGGCAATAAGCTTGAAACTTGGGATGAATGCAAAACAATGATGAGGAAAAATTTTGTGTTTTCATATTATAAACATACTCTCCTTGAGAAATTAGAACATCTAAAACAAGGTGATAAAACCGTGCGGGAGTACTTTCATAACTTTAAAATTTGTATCACTTATAGTGGTTTAAAAGAAAGCAATGAGAACATAGTGACTANATTTTTTAGATGGCTTAATTCTGATATTCAGGCTGGGCTTATTAACGTGACATATGATCATATAGGCCACTTGTTCATGCTTGCTTCCAGTGTTGAGAGCAATATTTTAAAGAACCCAAGGGAGAAACAAGCTATGCTTGTGCCTCCTATTACTGACATTTTGCAGGGAGCTTANAACATTCACCATGAAGAGAAGAGCAATATGATCGAGATGCCATCTCCATCGCTCACGAAAGAAGAAGAGAAGACTAATGCACTTACATCATCCGAAGAGAGAACCACATGTAATCTTAATGGTGCTGCGATTAATCAAGATGACTATGCCATTAATGAATTGAACATGTCTACTTTTCATGCTAGAGAAGAGCAACCATTAGTGGAACAAATTGCTGAGATGCCTTTGTCATAAGTTGATTTACTTGCTGTTTCTTGTGATAAAGAAGAGTTGTGTGATAATGCTTCACTTATATCCATGCCATAACTAGTGAATGAACATGCTATTTTAGTGTTTCTTTGTGTGCTGATTTTAAGCATGTTGTTCACATTACTAATGAAGTAGAGGAATGTGAATTGCTATCTTTTTTAAATACTTTGGGCTATGTTTGGTTTGATGATTTTCGTGAGCTCGGAAATTTGAAAGAGAAATTATTTGCTAAATCTGATTTGCCATGTCCAACTAATGCTATTTCCCGTATCGTTGGCGAATATAGTGATAGAGGAATATATTTCGTGTATAGAGTTTACATATGTTCGGATTTAGAACCTCCTGTACATGTGGATAAAACATGCAAGCTAGAGAGAAATGTTATCGCTAACAAAATTATCTTGAGTTTGTCAGGATGTTCTAAATGTACTACGCGATGAGCACCGTATGGAAAAACCGAGGACGGTTTTCCATGAAGAAGGGGAGGATGGTGTGACCATGACAACTACGGATACAACCATTGCTCACATCATGGATGAACAAGAAGATATCAAGTTCAAGTCGTCCAAGTGCTGGAATCCAATTCGGCCACCAGCTACACCGCTGACTTCAAACGATCGCCGAATCTGCATACGACCTCCGTTTTTGGCCCGTGAGTACTTGATGGAAAGCTCTCGGAGTCCTCTTTCCAATAGATCTAGCCTCATTTCCAAATTCCATGTCGTTTGGCCGCAATCACATAAACAAGGTGCTATGTCACCTGTCTTGGGCCTATGGAGTTGTAACTTTGTTTGGGACCTCGGCCCAAGTGGGGCCCATGTGGGGTGCGCCCCAACTCGGTGGAGAATGACCCTTGGCACCCCTTGTTCATCCTCCCACCCCTATAAATAGGTAGGTACCCCTTTAGGGTTTCTTGGGTTTTATTTAGATAAAAGTTTAGCCATTTCTACTTCCTTGCGGCGTGCATGTCGGCTAGACCGTCCGTCAGCTTGTATTCGAATCCCCAACTTATCGTGTGTATTCATTCCTATTTGTAATTCAGATTGCTTTTATCTTGCTCTTGCTTGTTTCTTCGATTTGCTTGCAGGAATAAGATTGATCTGGACCGGCAAGATCCACAACCCACGGAGAGGTGTATCGATCGCAAATGCGCAACACAACGTCTTGTAAGGTTGTAGTCGGGTCGTCAACATTTCTCCAAAATCGTAGTTATCATCAACTCACCGAAAGATCAGGCCAAACAATTGCCTAGAGTGTTGAAAGAAACTCAGGTTCATCAGGCAGTGGCTCTAGCGGCGGTGACGAGTTGCTGGAGTTCGCCGGGGAGCGGTGGAGAGAGGGAGCGCGGTGGGGAGGTGGTTAGGGGGCGTGGCGAGCCCGGGGAGGAGGGGGAAATGGGAGAGGGAGCTGTCACGCCCGGAAATTCACTAGTAATTTCCGAACTAATTTGTGCATAAAATCCTCGTCCAGGAATCAGCCGAGGTACACAAACTGACAATTTAATATACAAATCCATCTTAATAATAACGTTACATACTTACAAAGAAAAGAAAACAGCAGCGGAATTAACGGTCTAGCGATGGCTTCAGCTCCACTCCCACAGGCAGCTCAACTGGGGTATAAGCCAAACGTCTTCCCTTCTGGATCCTTTATCTTCAACTGAGGTTTGATGATTATTGCAAGAATGAGCATATGACATACTCAACAAGCCACACAGCAAATATGCAAGTGCACAAGGATTCCAAAGGATGGCATAATATAGGCTCATTTGCAAAAGCAGCATTTAGCAAAGATTTAAGATAAGTAAAACAGTAGAGTAATTAATCATCAATTTTAATCAACACTGAACAGCACACCCATGCTGCTCAGGCCCAACCAAACCTGAACAACCAACCCCGGTCGTACAGATCAAACCTCCAAACTAGGAATTATCCATTTCATACTAGGAGTCAAATTAATTATCACATTATTAACATTGATGAGTAGTGTGAAACTAATCACGAAAAACATTGCTCAACCCGCCCATAATCGCGGGCACGGCTATTCGAATAGTTTTACTCTGGCCAGAGGTGTACCACTGTACCCACAAGACACGATTTCGCACATGTTGCCATGCCCCAAAATACCACCACGGCATTGCAAAGGGGGAAATCGTGACAATACCCTTTGCACAACACAACTCAAAACAGTGCACCGTTCCTGGATCATAATCACCCCCTTATAAACAAGGCATGGACTCCCCAGCGACCCCCGTGGACTTCTCGCCACTTCTCAGTCTGGCTCACTATAATGAACCATGCTATACAAAAAGGTAAAG